TAACTGTGGGGGAGGAAATCTATGGCCAGTTAAGTCAAGGACGTATGGGATGGTTCAATGGTATTTAGAAATTGCTCACAGTAATTAGTAATTTCAAGAAAAGGGGTTCCAAAGAGAAATCACAAATTAAGAAAGAAGTCTATGTTTCACATACATGGTAAATTTTCAGTAATGAAATAAGAAACATTGACTAATCATAAGCAATGCAGCATATAAAGTAGATTACAATTTACTGAAATTGTAGGTGAACATTTCAGCAAGAGGGAAAGAAATAAATTTTTAGATATCTAATCCACTTTCAGAATTTAAGCAACTTTTAACTGCATCATACATCTGGGTGCTCACAACTAAATGTTGCAATCAACTTGTTAAGGGCAATTTTGCTGAATAAAGGTATGCAATCCTCACAGAGAATAGAGAAAGTCCAACACATGCTTTAAGACTTCTCCACAGAGACAGAGAGATAGCATATGTCAATATTTACTGTTCTCACTAAGTCACTATAAAATGTTTGTTTTCATCTCTGAAAGTAATTTGCACAGTGGAGTTTTGCTGATAAAGGATTAATGCTTCAGAGGAGGCAAGCACCTGCTTCTGTGCTAAGCATTACATATGCTGGGCTGGTGAGTCCAATTAAACTTTTTTAACCTGAAAGTATTGTTATTGCGGGAGAGAGAACATCATGCCAGGGACATCTTAACACACATTAACTATCATTATAAAACCCTAGCACTAATCAGATGTTTCAAGCAAGGTATCCGCTAGCCAGTCACCTCCAAAAGAGATCTTCCCACCCCTCAGTCATTCAGGAAAGCAAAAACCATGTCTTTTCCAACACCCACCAAATGTGTTCCTCTGCTGGTCCAGGGCTGGGAAGCTGCATTTAGACCCGCAGCTGAATTACAGCAGGTAGGGAGTGGCACTGCAAACCACTTCTGCTAAACCATGCTGCAGTCACTGCCTAGGGAAGGTGCTGGGCAGATGTCAGATGCAGTGCATCAGAGAGGAAATCACACAAAGCACATGCACTGAAAAGCAAGAAGCAGCTTGGAAAATAGCAACAGCAAAAGAGACAGAATGTGAGTTGGCATGGGAGGATGAGCACTGCTGCTCCATCATGCACCTCTCCCATGCACACGCTGCACTGAGCACCCTGCAGGACAAGCACCCAGTGTCTAAACATCACAAAACACTGAAAAGGGTCTCAAAATGTTTGGTGGCTGCCACAGGGGAAATGTAATTATCCATCTTGTGAAGATGCTAACAATGGATAAGTCCCTCTTATTGTTATTAATCAGATTTTAAAAATGGAGAGTACTTATCACTTGATATTCCACACCTTAAAGTTTCCTGCAAGATAGGCAGATGTTTCTTTACCCTCCCAAGGGTCTGCACCCAATCAGTCCTGGAAGGAGGACCTCAGAGCTTAGTCTGCATCAGCACTTCTCTGCAGTTGAGGCTATAGGTCCAGAGTAAGGGCCACAGAAGATGCCATAAACAACTGGCACAGACCCAGAAACGATGCCAGAAAGAACCCTAAGCATATCCTCTTTCCTCCTTGGACATCTCAGTATCTCTGTTTTCTGTGACTGTGCGTGGATGCTTGTGCTATGCTCTGCCTGCTCCAGCCCACTCTTGCTTTTGTCTGATCTATCCCAGTGCTGGCAGAGAGTTTGCCTTTTACTGCATGTGAATTTTGACCACAGCAGTTAATCCATTCCAATGTTTCCCTCTGAAGAAGAACGAAGAAAGATCCACCTTCCTAAGGGAATTCTTACCTTTTAACACTGAAAAGCTCTATGTACCTCATACTAGAAGTGGGCTTTCATACAGTTGCCAAACGTGTTCTGTGCCCCTTTTGTCCTTGCTGTCACAAGCACAAAGCCATGTTTATAATTCCTCCCACAACCTTCATTCCTGTATTCTGGCAAAGACCATCAGTGTTCACAAATGCAGAATAATAACTACTGGCAATTATACTGTCAACGCAAGCCATCAAGAAACGTATAGTGCATAATGCTCTGCTACCTATAATGTTTTTATTCTGTGGTACCTGGGGGTATCAGTTCATAGGAAAGGACATCTGGCTCCTATTTGTGAAAACAGCAGTTTGTGGGTTACCATTTGTATGCGCCAGTGGAATTCTCGAAGGAAACAATTCAGCATTTAAGCACATTTCATCATTTTCATTTATGAAAGGGGAAATATGTGTAGTAATACATGCCCAAAGAGATCAGGAGGATTATTTTTAAACCAAAGCGTCTGATGTTTTTACAGAATTTACACAATTCCTCTTAAATCAACGTTTTCCTTTTTAAAATTAGCATCAGTGTTTGTTTCCTGCATGAAACCTGGTTGGTGTCTGAGCAATTAAAGTGAAGGCAAATGCGACAGGAAACTACTTTAACTACAGAACCTCAGCTGCAAAATACAACTTTTCTGAGTAATTGAAATGAAAGTCAGGATCAGTAAAAATAAATTGCACAATGCAGTTGTGGCTGGAAAATTACTATGGAGACCGGCAACTCGATACAACTGTTTCTATTACTTTGTATTGCATTAGGTAAGGTAGTAAATACTTAATAAGAACAGTAGAGCAAGTTTCATTTTATTCCACATTGTGCGTATCAAACAATCCTGCTAGCAAAAGATTACCCTTAGGGCAGAAAAATGTTTCATTCTCCACTCTTGTTCCGTCAAGAGCTGTTCTGCTGGCTCTGCCAACAAGGATGCCAATTAGTGTCAAGTAACATTTGGGGACTGCTGATGCAATACACAATAAAAGGAATACAGTGGGGTGAAGTGGACTTGCTGCACTCAGAGACAGAAAATACAATTTTTATTTTGGTAACTGGATGTAGAATTCAGAGAGATGGAAAAAAAGAGAATACCATTCCCACCACGTTAGGGTTTACATCCCCAGTTGAGAGCTGGGAGATCTCACTTTGAGCTCTGTTGTTAGAGAAAGGAGACACTGTATAAACCTTCAAAAGACACAAATCACATCCTCTTGCTCAGGTGAATCTCCCATCAGCTCAGTGGTTATTCAACTTGCTCTGTCACCAATATTTCTAAAGCTACCTAGACAAACAATTTCTGTGAAATGCAGAGGAGAACGAAATATGTTTGGAATTGTGCACAAAGCACATCTGCTAAAGAGAAATCTCAGGGAAATTACTGAGGTTTATTACACTTCCAGCTTCCTCAGCTGGTCCCACTAAGCTGCCTCTGTCCATAAACAGCTGAGTGAGGAATACAACAGTACTGCAGGGCAAGAAGGTGACTTCCTTCAACAGTCAGTCAGACAGTTCCCAGAACCCCTTGTCATCGTCACATCATGACTTTCAGATCTAGCAGGATGCTTTGCACATGTTGACATTTGAAGTTTTATTGCCTGCCCATCCTCTTCTAAACTGGTCAGGGCAGTCCCATAAGATGAGCAAGGCCAGCACTGTCAGAAGTCTCCCCAGAAACCCTGCGTGACAGAGACAAAACTATTTCCCTGCCAATGGCTCAATGAGAGCAATGTTTGATCTGCAATGAGTGTTACATCCTGACTTTCTTAGCTCTGCAAAGATTTCAATAGAAAAGTGAATGCAGCTTCACACTACATATCAAGTTCTGACTTTATTTTCTCTGCAAAAATGCCAACAGCAGCATCAGCCTCACTTGTGTCTTTTTTATTCTTTATCTTTTTCAGGGTGATTTACCTTGTGTATAATACACTGAAAATACTCCAGTAAAAATAGGAATTAAATCATTGCTGCTATAACAAGGAGAGGTGGAATACCTTTCCTCTTCGACAAGCCCCAAGCAGTTGGCACCCTATAAATCATAGGAAGCAGAAGGGTAATTATAGAACTGGAGGCTGATTACTGTAAACATTCAGAAGTAGCTCCCAGTAATCAGAAACCCAAGATAACATGAGCATGATCACAACCATGAAGGAACTGTGCAGGTCACTATAACCCATCTTTTCTCTATTCCTTACGACTGGGTTGTCTCACAAAGCAACAGACTACAGAGTCAATCTAGCACCTTGTAACTTAACAGCCTGTTAATACTGTGAATTGTTTGTTCTCTGTCAGAATTAGTGTTGATTTGACAACATTGAAAACATCAGGATCTGATTACTTTCCTGCTGTGCACTAAACAGCACTGCTAACAGCTTCCACCAGTCTGTTTTGCTGTCTTTGAGCACCCCTTTCATCACTCCTGTGGGTGATGCTGGTGCATTTATGGGAGAAAATGTCCAGTCAAAGAGGTGCAGCTTGCACTGAGAATAGATGATGACAGTAAGACAAATGGATTTAAATGCCAAGGGTGTTCATTTTTTCACTATCAGGGACACACAATGAGAAAACTCTCCTCCACCACTGAGAGAGGGACCTTCTTGATAAAAGTGCACTTACAGTCACATTGTGCTGGACCATAACGAAGTATCAGATTTGTGCCTCAGAGGAGTTATGCCTCCAGGACCAACATCATAACACTTGGGCTGAAAGTGATACCTTCTGTTTTACCCAAGCATACCAGAAAGATTACACAACATGACCGAGAGAGAAGCTTGTTTTCTGACCCCAGTGCTCTGCTTCTGTCCTTAAGCAGAAAGAAACACAAAACCTGTCATTTTCACTCTACAGAGAATGTAGCTTATTGAAGGCTCTAATCCCTGTGTGATCCTCACAAAGCAATTTATCTCAATTACACTTACTGCTGATAACAAGCACATTAACTACTAAAGCACAAAAGTGTTTATTTTCATCCACATCTTTGTTATTATTATATATCCCCAAACTTTAGTTTTCTTCTGTACTTGACGTAGAATTTTCAGAACTAAGACAAAGAGCTTTGGAAAAATCCACTCTTTCATTAAACAACTTGAAATTATCTAGAACTTGGGTATATGACTAGCAAGCCAAAAGCACCTTCACATGACTTTACCTGAAGAAAGGACTACAAAAAGCACAGCTTTAGCTACCTGACAGTAAATATCTCACCATGCTGTATAATCCCATGCTCCAAAAGCCTGCGGCCAAGCTGCTCGGCTTCAGTCCGTGTTGTGGCCTCTCCTTCCTGGATCAACCAGTCAATGAACTCTGATGCCACGAAGGTTCGCTCGTACTTGACCCCTTCCTCTTCCCTGGCTTGCAGAAGAGTATTTTCAGAACTCATCAACCTGGTTTGGAGGGGAAAAAAATTGGTAAGGAAAATGATGCTAAAAAAAAAAAAAAAAAAAGAAAAAAAAAACACCCAAAAACAACCTCCTCCAGATCCCTTCTGGCAAATTTCTCAAGAATTTCACAAGCAAAGAGATGTGAATCTCTCCCTGACTTATTAAACCTTTCCTCAAGCTATCAATCTAAACTTAGGATGTGAAAGACATTCTAAGTTGTCTTAGGACAAGAAATTAAGGTTTTATACTGCTGTACAAAGTTGAAGCTTTCTCCTTTTTTTTCTCTACATGAAAATAAAGGGTTTCAGTTTCACATTTCCCGTATTTAGTTCTCTAGCTTCTCTAAAAGTTAACATATAACCCATTTCCAAATAAAATCAACCTAAAAACACCAGATCATAACTAATGTGTTCAGGAATTCCTAATTAACTTTTACAGCTAGCAGGACTGTACCCCTAAGTCTTTTAGATGGTTTTGAAAATCGTCCCCTTAAGCTTTACAACAGCTGCAGAAAAATTGAAGAGGAAGGAGAAAAGGTAATTCTGTGGTCTGGGTGGCTGGTAAATGTTTGGCTTGCAGCACTCCAGGATGCAGCTGCAGCTAGCAAAGTTGCACACCTGAAAACATTTTCACATCTGAGCCACCATGCCTCAATCTGCTCTGCATAACACAGGAGTGAAGAGGAACATTGTATGTGCCAGCAACTGGCAGGTTATGTAGCTTAAATATGCTAAGAAAATTCTTCTCCATTCAAGTAATGTAAACAAATGGTGCAACATAAAAACAAAGCAAAAGCCTCAGTATTTTATTAACACAAAAGTAAGGTTAACAGTTGGGAAGAAAAGAAATGAGAATCACTCTTTTAATACAGAAATCCTCCCTTCTGTTGTTGGGAAACCAAGCAACAGAGATTCCTTATTCACTAATTTCAGTCCTGTTCCTAATTTTTCTATTTACTATAGACCAATGGTAAGATTTTCAGAATAACAGTTCATGAATGGCATGGTGAGGTTTTTTCCTAGCAAGGCTCCTCCCCTCACCAAGTATTTGGAAACTAAAGGCACAACTGACCTACAGCATGAAAACTTGAAAAGTCTCTCAGTCTTGGCCCTTATCATGATCAGAAGTTTGAATTTCCTGTAGGTCCATATGTGGGCAATCTCTTCCTTAAACTGTCAGTTTGTCCAGGATTGATGGAAACTGTAGAAGGCACAATAAATATATATAACACCACCTCTCTAGGTCTTCTGAGTTCTGAAGTCAGGCATCAGAAATATAGGTGCTATAGGAACACGGAGAGGAAAGTTTCAACTGAAATTACAATAAAGAGCTTTGATGGGACCTGGCCTTTGTTATTCCCCCTGAAGGAGCTCTTGCAGTAACTTTAATGAGAGCTAACCAGGAGCCTGGGCTGAGTGAATCTGACCTCAGTCAGCAAATCAGCAAACCAAGGGCTGCTGTGCACCAGCTGGAGCTGAGTGGAACATATAATGAACTGCTCCTGTTGGTGTTGGGGGGGACTTCATCTTCAAGATGAAAGTCAAAATTAGCCAAAGTCAGGGATGAAGCTGAAAGCAAGAACGCATGTAACAGGGGACGACATAATGACTCCAGAACTCTTGCAAAGGCTTTCTTCTTTTTCATATTTTGATCTGCATATGTGTGCATGGAAAACTTATCTCTTTCTCCCACACTAACCACATTTAATTGAGAGAGAGCTCCCAGGGTCCATCTTTAACTGTCTCTCACTCACCTAGCATTTTCCCCCCAGAAAAAAATGCAAACCCAAAGCTCATGCCTCTTCATACCATCTGCTGCATGGTTACCCAAAGCTGGTTACCCAGGCTCTGTGGGCACCTAACAAAAAATCCTGAGGATTGAGCTAATTGTTCTTTGATGAGTCTATAATTAGTTGACCAGCTCATTGAAGCAGCAGATGAAGCTCATTGAAAAAGAGATGCTAATCGTTTGATTTTTACAGAGCCACAGAAGAAAACTGGAAGAGTATCAAGTGGAAAAACACTCAGCTTGACATTTCACACTCTTCTGTGTGTGCCCAGAATAGCACTGCAAAGGATTTGGGCTTGTGAACAAACAGACACAACAAATTGACAGTTTTACAAACCCAGAAACAGTAATCCATTGCTAAGTGAAGTAAATCACTGTAACTTTACTGCTGTCAACAAAACGGTACCAATTTCCATCAGCCAAAAGCCTGGTCTTTTTCATTGGTCAAAACTGGAAACTGCCTCCATCTCTTCCATTTTCTCATGTTTCAAACAACTGTAAGTCCATTCATGTCAAAGTGTATTATTTGCTGAAACTTGTGCTGTCTTACATGGAAGGAATGTATTTGGCCAAACACTGAAATTCAACCCCTTTTTTTTTTTTTTTTTAACTTAGTTTTATCTAAGAATACAGTCTCAGAATTATATGAATGACTTCCTGAAACCAAAAGCATAAAATTTCATTTCTTTCACTGTAAAATCTGGTTGAGAATACCAGTTGAAGTCAATGTCATGAGATGAAGTGCAGCTCCTAAGACCGACTGCACCAGAAACACATCAGTGCTGTGCACCTGGCCTACACCTGTAAGAACTGCAAACATAATCAAAATATGGGGCCTGCACAACTTGATTTAAAAAAAAAAAAAAGCTATGAAAAGTCTGTGTTGGATTTAATTAAGACTTGCAGGATTTTGCCGATCATGAGACATGCTTATATATTCAATCTCTTTGGTCAGTCCTCCAGAATATGAAAACTGATATTGTCAACGGACCTCATAAACTCTTCAGGGAGTTTTAGGAAAGCTTAAAGCAATAGGAAACCCATTATGTTTCATCTCTAGTTATGAACTTAAAGCTCAAGGCAAGTTCACAGGAAGGATTACCAAAGTTTGCATTTACATGCAGGGAATCTGAGCTATTTTTGGTTTTCAGTGGAAATGAGGGGAAGATAGAGACTGATTTTAAACCTTTTAATTAGGCAAGTACAACCATGGAAGACATTCACAATAGGTAAAGGAGGTGATGCCACGGAAGAGGTGAGTACAAAGTACAAGGACCTCTACGGTCACACAAAAGGAGGACAGGGAAAGGCTGCTCCTTGTCCGGGGGACAGACCTCATGTCCCATGTCCCAAGGTGAGGACAGGGCATCTGAATGCTGGGAACCTGCCATCTCCCCCTCTATCCAAGTAACAGAGTCTGCTGCTTCTCTTAAATATTTTTGCTTAGTTTACTCATTTAGGGTAGAAATCTGCATGAATGATGTTGAGTAACGTCTGCAATTTTTGGCAAGCACAAGCTATGCTGGCTTCTGAATGTAACAGTACTCCAGCCCTGATGTGATGGGCAGGGAAGTGGAGGAAATAGTATTACAATGCCTATCTTAAATGAGCAAAGCCTAATGAAGGCAGCAATAACTGAAGGGCTGAGACACACTTCTAAAATATGTTGTATGCAAACAGATTTCCTTTGTCATAGTCACATTTCTCTTGAAATTAGACCTATGGGCATTTTGATAAACAAGTTCAATATGCTGGTAAGTGATTTCACATCTGTGCATAAACACTTTCTCCTGTTATTGCCTTTTAACTACTATTTTAATTCTGCTACATTAGTATTTTCTTTCCCAACAATATAAGAAAAGATGTATTGCCCATATTTCACTGCTAAACTCTTTCCATACTAGTTTACTTTCAGCATCAGATTTTGAGTTTAAAATGCATCCACGAAACTGAAAAGGTGTTGCCAATAGGTATGCATGGAAAAGGATATAATGAAATCAGTGTAATGCCCAACAGGCTTTGCTACATAAGCTAAGGTGAAGCCCAACCAGCCCAGGTATGCAGCCCTATCTCCTATGAATAGAACAAAAATTTCCAGTGATCCACGGTGAATTTTTTGTAGTTTCAACTGTCACAAACTGGTTCTGAAATGGCATGTATTTTTTAATCTATACTATGTCAAGCGCTGGGGATGGGTTTTAAAAGTTTCAAAACCTTTTAGATGTGTTGCTTAGGAGCAACCACCTCATGAGGATGAGTTAGACTTAGATATAGGTGCCGCTTTTGGCACTAGCTCCTTTTCCAAGATGAACACCATTATAACCATTGTTCTGCAGGTGTGACGTAGGGCAAGCTGGACACTCTGTGTTGGTTTGGGGATGGTTGCTCACACAGAGAAATGGGGATGGAAGTAGAAACTCTGGCAGAACAGTTTTTCCTGCCTTGGATAGTTTCATGCAAGGCACATTACCAGCCTCACCAAGAAAAAACTATTTTGCTCACAAATACCTAAAACTGAAAACAAGGTTTGCAGTCTAGACACACCAATCAACCTTCCATAACACAGGCAGTGCCTGGGGGCAGTGTGTTGCAGTCTGCAGGAGCAAATGCTGCACTACGTAGAGCACAGGAGATTTTGAAGAAGGGCATTTCAACTGATCATTCTACGTGTTCAATGAGTAATTTTTCCCAGCAGTGTATTTTCTTGTATTTTGCCTGATTTGTTTTCACATTAATAGTCACGATTATGGAAAATATGCATGGCATATACAACAAAAGGAGCAACATTTACAATTGCTTTTTTTAAATGTATATTTCAGATTAATTGCTCTTTGACCAAATTGCCGCTCATAGCCTCCTAACCTGATAACACCATTTATCATCAGCTTTTAAACCTGGCGTTATCCTGGTGCCAGGTATAGAGCTCCAGTAAGGATACCCAGCCCCCAGTTTGCAGAAAGCTGCAGAGCTGGCCAAGTGTTTGGAAGGCACTTCCAACAACACACCCAATCCTCTGGCAGCTCTGAGCTCTTGGCTCTTGGCAGCCTTCCCCTGTTCTGCACCTGCCCTCTTGTGCAGGGAAACTAGAAGGGGTAGGCATTGGTCTGAAAACCCTGGGACACACTAGCAATAGGGGCTGTGCAGTGGGGGTTCAGGCTGTGATATCAGCCTTCTGCTTACTCATTTATTATAGACTGGGAAGTATAGTTAAGCTGCCTGGTTATCTGACAGAAGTAATCCATTGGGATATTCAGTATCCCAGAACAATCATTAATTTCAAATCTTAATTAGATGTTCTTGGCTTATTTTTTCAGGCAACTATTTTTAGTGTAATCTCTCTGATGCAGAAACTTTGCAGGCTGGAACAGTGAAGTTTAATTTCACTTACTGTATAAAATCATACTTCCCAGTGAAGTCTAAACAGATATTCAACCACTTGTTCATTACATTTTGATGTACTAAAGTTGTAGGGTTTGTGATTACAGTTTCACAGAGCCAATCATTTGTGACTATTTTTATAAAATATAGTGCAAGAACTTAAATTTACATTGGGTTTTCCTATGGCATTTTATGAGAACATAAAAAAATGTCATTTCATTATAAACAAATGCTTTAAGTGAACATGGTAGAAAACTGAAAGGGATATGGGAAAGAAAGAAAGAAGGGTTACAAAATAAAGCCATGGGATTGCACAGCCCCACTGCTGCACGATATTCAAAATTCTATCATTCTATTCCATGAAAATCAGATGAACAAACACCATTTGCCCCCTGCAGTGCTGTTACTGACACCTGAAGGATACTGAATGCAACGTACTTTTCATACAGTCTTTGTCCTCTCATGAACACCTTCACCTCATTATCCAGCGGAAATGTCCCATCGTCTTTTCTGAAGCGGTAGAACAGTTTGGCATCCTTGAATTCTTTATGCTCGTCACAAACTGAAACATAAAATAAAAAAAAATCTTCATAGGGATGTTAAAGGGTTGAGAATCCATTTAGCAGGTTCACTGCGAACTTCAAAGCAAACATGATTGGATCCCAGCCCCCTGTGCATAGGATACACCTAATACATTAGGTTGTACAACCTAAATAAATTAGAACCTTAAGTTCTAATAAATGATGAAAGACTGAAGAAGGCTTTCAGAAAAATAACAAAATTTCTAGCTACGAGGGATTCGTGTTCATCACTTTCATGAGTATTAGTGTGGACACCAGTAGCAACAAAGCATTCACCTGCTAGATACCTGGAAAACCTTTTGATGTAAACTGTTTAAAAGACACCACTGTAGAGCAGCCAATAATTTAAAGATTGGCAAACTGCTTAATGTTACTTGTATTAGTTAAACCATGTGGCAGGAAAGCTGAGACTCACTGCAGGATCAGTTAGAACCAAAGCCTTCTGCCCTCTTAAAATCATCTCAATTGCATTGTCATGCCAGCTAGCAAATGGAAGGTACAATAGGAACACACTGAGAAATACTAAGTAAGGATTTACAAGACAGAAGATGTCCTACAAATTCCAGAAGCAAGGACATGCATCAAGGGAAGGCTGCCCAGGCAAGGTGCTGCAAAGAGCTGTCAGCTTACTGGCTTGGGCTCACCGTAGGCACAGGAGCAGTGGCTGGCATTACTTCCATTTGGCATTGGTATGGAAAGGATGCTCTGAGCATCCTGCAGAATTGATTAAACCTACCTGACTGAGCCCTCGCTCACTTCACCAACCATTTTATTAACTTTGAGAGTAATGGATGAAAATTTTCAACAGGCACCTCCTTTACGTGTGACACAGATGGACACACACATATATAATTTATATCAAAGCTAGAGTGTGCAATTGGGTTCTAAAGCAAAAAACATTTGAAGGCTGTTAAAGTTTTCAACAAGCACTCAGCAATAAGATATCTATTGCTCAATTAAATTAAGCCACTCAGGCATCCATGCGACTCTTCACTGACATTTTCTCAATAGAGGATTAAGTAGTCAGATTTGAATACCCTGTAATTACTTTATTCTTTAACTATCTATCGTGAATCCCCGTTTCCATAACAACCCGGAATTTTAATTTAATAGCTGAGCAGAAGCTATAGAAGTGGCACACGTTCAGTATGTGCATTTCTTCCTTTAATTAAGGTGTTGTTAATGCACCGCTGATAGCAGCAGTATTCCTGCACAGACAGTGACCCCTGAACAAATTCGACAGTCATCTGCTAGCAGTTGCTCTATTTTCTATTTAAAAAGAAACAAATGGTACATTTTGTCTTCTTGAAATAAGCAATACTATGCGCCTGGAATAGAGGACTTGGATCTTCTTTGTTGTGTGCTTTCCAGCCTCTTTGTGCACTAAAAGGCAACTAAATGCTGCCACTGATTTGGTAGCCTCCTTTTCATAAGTGTAAATTGTTATTCAAGGCGCTGAATGGAACAGGTCTCAAACACACAACAAGTTTAGGAGAAAATTAATCAGGGCGCAGTCGGACATCTAACTCTTGCAGCTGTAGCAGCACAAATGTTTGTGCAGCTGGTGCGAGGAAGAGAGCTGGAGAACAAATCCCTGTGAGAAAGATGACGCTTTTTTTGCTGGCTTATTTTTCAGATGGGTTTTTCAGCTGGAAAGGGAGAAAGGGGCTGTGCAGGGGGAACAGGGAGGGGAGGAAGGGGCAGGCAGTGGTGATGAAGGCACTGGTGAGGGCAGGATCCAGCTGAGGATGCTTGGGAGGCAAAGAAGCAGCAGCACAGTCTGCAGGGACTTCCCTCCTGTACTGACATGGGGAACACAACTCTTCACCCTGATTGCCTCTCGGTGTCCCTGGGGACACAGGGGGCCTTGTGGGGCAGCACCCTTCAAGCCAGGTGTTCCCTTCCTGGCAGGGATCGGAACCTACTTGTCTTATACTTGAGTGAAGAACACAAAGTGGATTCCTGCTTGCTTAGCTTAGAGCTGATATTGCTTACCATGATGGATAATGCTGTGATCCAATAACTTCTGGACAAGTTTAATTGCTGTCTCTCGGTCCGAGGCCTCCTTATGGTCAATCAGCCAGTCAATCAGCTCTTTGGCAACAAAGCAGTTGGGATACGTCTTGAGGTGGTGCCTCCGGTCTTTGATGACCTTCTCTTCATGCAGTCGGAGCCTGTGGGTCCAAAATCAACCCATCAATTGGGTGTACAAAGACCCTCTGCTACCAGTGAGATTGGGAAAAAGGCTGAGCCAAGAAGGCTCACCCAGGCCTCGCTCCACAGAAATGCTCTGCAGTTGTTGGGTGCAGCAGAACAGAGCCTTTCACCCATGCCAGGCAATCCACACAAAACATTTGTTACCATGTCAAACCCCATACTTGGGAACATTGTATTTCTGTCCAATGGAAAAGACTAGGAAATGAAGAACAGCAGAGCATACAAAGCCCATTAAATGCTTCCTGTTTGCCAATTAAACTGTCAATAAATTGGAATTAATTTTCCCACATTACCACTAATGTGTTCCATGTCACTCAGTATCACTGCCATAGATTTTTTTTCACACCATTCATTTTTTTCAGTTTCTTCATTGGTTGGGTAACTGCATTTTGCCTCCAGCTGCACAAGCACAGCATTTGAGATTTAAAATTCAGTCACAACGCTGTTTCAACACAATGTTATCTAGCATAAAAAAGTTGCCTCCTACTCATAATTAAGGGAAACTGATATCTCACTCTGCAAACTGTTGGTAAATGCTATCTATCTGCAAAATCTCATCATCATGTTGAAAGCAAGTAGGTTGGCTGTTTTTGAGATGCTTGGGTCAGAATGCAAAACCCTGATTAGATTAGTAAAGGCTTTAGAGTTCCACATCTTTATTTTTAAAATGGAAGAGATTTAGACTGGATATAAGGAAGAAGCTTTTAACAGTAAGGGTGGTGAAGCACTGGCACAGATTGCCCAAAGATTTAGTGGATGCCCAATGCCTGGAGACGTGCAAGCTCATGCTGGACAGGGTTCTGAGCACCCTGACTGAGCTGCAGGTGTCCCTGCTCACTGCAGGGGAGTTGAACTAGATGACCTTTAAGGGTCTCTTCCAACTCAAATGTTTCTATAATTCTGTGATTCTACGGTTCTTATTTCAGCCTTATTTTTTCCAAATAAACATAATGAGTAACATCTTTATCAATAAATTACTGGATAGACATTTTCTAAAGTTTAAATAGGTTTTCTGTTTTCTTGTTTTTTTCATTTTCTGTTAATAAATTAAATAAGTCCGTTTTTTGCAGTGTCATGTATATACCTCAGAAGAAAACATGGAAACTGCAGTTCCTGGGCTTCTACCATGAAGAGAAATGTTGTCACTCATTTCAAAGTGCTCTTATAAGGGTCTTATCATGCAAATACTCTTGCTGACTTCAAAGAAGTGCCAAGTAATGCTGTAATAATTGTAGGGGATACAACTATCTCTGGTTTTCAAATTGGAAAGTAGAACAGAGTGTCAACTTGAGTCTAGGGAAGCACAGAGGAGTCCGGCCATGAGACCAGTTGTCCTCTCCTTGTGATTCCAGCATGAAACAAACATTTCTCTTTAAAATCCAATAAAAGGAAGTTACTTGGCTGAAATTGGCAAAGACAATGTTACTATGGCAGTAGACAAGACTTCTACCTAAAAATACTAGAATAGCCGTGTTTTTGTTTTGCAGTATTTGGCTTTGGGTACTGGAACATCCAATCAATAATAGAAATTCAAAACTATACTTTGCAAGCATTAAAAAAATGAATACTTTTATATTAAAAACACTAATAAATCAGATTAGGATTCTGGAAAGAAGTACTGGTAAACGCCACATGCATTGTGAAATTCTCTGAGCTAAAATATCTTTGCTTAAGGAATATTTTCCAGATGTGCTTTAGCAGCTGTTGCCATACTTAGAAAGAAAAAGCCTACACAGCTCTAATTATAGAATGCGCAATTATCATTATTTCTGACTGAGCTTTCCATTTTAAATATGTTTCAGGTTTTTTTAACGTTCATCAATTCGTATGCTACACAATAGAAGAACAGTGATGCGGAAATAGCAATATAATACGTATGTAGATGGCTTGACCTATCTTTCAGTCACTGCTGTAAGTCTGAATGAACGGGGCTCATCTGACACAAAAGGGAAAACCTGTTCTATTAAATTCTTTGCACAAACTCCAGAGTGTGCCAAGAGGGCAATGGCATTCCGCAAACAAGCCAGCAGATGAGAGCATCACAACTGAGTATTTCTGTCTTAAATTCTGACCAAAGACTTTCCTTCAATTGGTGGACTCATATCTATTTTAACTTCTCTAACAAGCCGTAAGATACATGGTTTCACTACAGCCTTCTTCCTTACTCTGGGCATTACAGTGCCTCTCTCAATACCTTTTTGCTTTTATTCCCATAGCTCACAGAAATTTCATTATCTTAATTATCTTCACTCACTTGCTAATGTGGCTCCAAATTTGCTAAGAGGTTACAAAATCATTAAGCCAAACAGAACATGATCACATAAGCCTCAAGATATGATAAAAAAATATATTTACACACAATTTCCAAATGGAAGTAGGAAATTATTCTGCAGTTTATAGCCACTGTATCCCAATGGATTGTTTCCTTTTTTTTTTTTTTTTTAAATAAAGATCAGAAAGAAAAGCTTATACTCTCCCTGGTTGTGTATGCCCTCCTCTCTGCTAGGGCTTCCTCACCTCTATGAATCAGCTAAAAATCAAACTTTATGGAGGAGAAGCAGTTCAATAAATTGAAATTGTGCCTACTATACAGTACAAATATAACAACCTCAGATTAAGTTATTGAGCTAATATTGCAGTACATAAATCAAAGGTTTAGGAAGGAATTCTATAAATATGTCAGTATTCAGCCATATTTATCAGGAGCCAAATCAAAAGGGATAAAAAGGAGAAAAAATTGTGGCAGAGAATACAGTCATACACTGGGACCAAGGATCAAGTGAAGTGGTAAATTCTTTACCCCTTAGCATCTGGAAAGAGGCTTCTCATTAGAAGACCTCAGGATTTTTTCTACAGAACGTTAATCACATTTTGTCAGCTCATCCACATTATGGCTGGAAAAGACATCACTTGACATCAGGCATATTTCTCTTGCTAGAAGTTTCTCTCAAGAGCTGCTTAGGAAAATTAACTCCCTTACCAAACCTGAGCAGTCTGAGGAGAAAGGAGGCAGAAGTGGAGGGACGAGCAATTGGGAGTGATGGGGTAAACCTTGGTTCAACAAGCCTTTGGACTACTGTCTGGAACTTAACTCCAGAAAAGAATCTGGTGTACACCAGTCCCTACCTAACTCCCTATGTTATTCAAGGTAACATGCCAGATTTTCACTTGGGACCACGGTCTACACTACCTATGGAACTCAATGTGAGAACTGTGAACAGAAATAGGCTCATGCAACCCTTTAGTATTTACAGATTGATATCGATGGCTCATATTCATGCCTGCAACAAATAAAGACATCCTGTATTTGCATATATGCATGCCAGAACAGTTTTCTCAGGGCCCTGTCTAAGCAAGAGTTGTTCTTAATGAACAACATGCAGGGACTCTTGCTCCAAATGAAAGTGTCTCCTTCCTGTGTAGCTTGGAAAAGGCACCCATTTCACAGAGTGTGTATTCAGAGCTAGCCAGGAACAATGTTATTTGCTGAGAAGCCATTAGGCATTTTCTTTACCAACTGTCTGAAAAGTCATGATAACAGAAAAATCAAAATTTTTGCTTAAGAAAGGAAGACTCGGGAGCTCCTTTGGGAAGAAACTGCTCTCACAGCTACATGAAACTTGCATTTTGTTTCCCACTAGGAGAAATACGCTTTCTGAAGTCTACTGCATCTCTCTATGAACAAATGGGATTTTGCAAAGGCAGTGACTGCACATGAATGTAACTTTGCTTTCAAACCCCACAGAAGGCCACTGTGATGGCTGAAGACAGCAGTGATGTCACCAACAATCCAAACCTTTCACCCAGCTCCTTCCATCTGGTCAGCAGCTTGCACTTGGCTAATATCTTTCAGAACACCATCTACTCCTGATTTCTAAGCACGAAAAGACAAAAAGCCTGCTGCTCTTCTTGGTAATTTTCTGAACGATTCATCTGCCATTCTCTAGTACATCCTACATTGTCACAGAATCATAGAATCACTCAGGTTGGAAAAGACCTTAAAGATTAAGTCCAACCACGACCTAACCATACTACTCTATCTCCACTAAATCATGTCCCTGAGCAGTCCCTACGTTTATCCTAGCAAATCTAACTAAAAATATTTCTGTTGAAATCTTTCTGTTGAAAATAGAGAAGTTTTGTATCTCAGAAGTCACTAAGTCTGACATTTTTCTGAAGGTATTTTCTCAACATCAGCATATGACCTGTCTGCAGCAAGGGGTAGATACTTAATCAAGAGTGGCATTCTACAAGGAGCCTCAGTGATGTAGGAGTGTAATTCCCATTAGAAGTTAGCACTCATAGGTCACCTGCAGACTCTGTTCATACAAAGTAAGTGAGCATATGGCAAAGTCTTTGTATATATACACACACAGGAAAATGCAGAACAACATGAAATACTTAAGAATTATAATTCCCTATACACTACTCTTCTGCCTTTTCACTGACAGCATAAAAAAGAAGTAGGTCAGTGATGATGTAAGCTTTGTACACAGAGGCAACCATGAAGGTCCTGTGCAAATGTGATCTGTGTTGCTGGGACAAGCATTTCCAGATGGGCTTGCCAAGCTTCAGCTGAAATGTCAGCAGTTTGCTGCTGTTCCTCTTTCTATTTATGCTTCAGCTCTGCAATCACTTAATTCTGTTACCTGATATTCATAGGAGCTAAAACACCCTTTACAACACAGGGTTGTACTGGAAATAGGATGAAGATATTTCTAATTTGGTATCTGTGGCAGAGAAGAAACTACCATCTGAAATAGGGTTAGAGAGGGGATCTTCAAAGAACCTCCATTTATCAGTTCCTATCACCGTGTCTATTTCTACTTTTTTTGCCCTCAGCCATACAATCAGCACGAGGAGAAGCCAGAGCACATAGCCAGATAGGGATCTCAGATAAACTGCCTCTTGGCACACAGAGGAGGAAAGCCCAAAGCTTCCAAAGAAACAACAATCT